GCATTGCCAGATGGGAAAAAAATGAACTGAAATTTCACACTTCTGCCTTTCACTTCCACATGATTTCTTCATAGTCCTTATCTGTGATGCGCACTCGATGGTAGGTTAGATCTTTAACAATAATTAACTCTACCTACTCTAAATTTTCCTTCATTCAGACACTGAATCTCAGAATTAGAAACTACACAGTGATGATGGTTTTCGCTAAATTCAAGACCCAAAGTCTCAAATGAGTACCAAACCTGCCCAACAACCCTTTGTTACCTCTGTGGTATGTCAATCCTCTCAACTGTCAAAACTACAACTCACCACTTTCTCTTCTTCTGTAAACGTCCACAGCCTTCCATCCCATTCTCTGTCCAACACCTTTGCCTCCTATTTCACTTAAGAATAGCTCAGACAGGAACTCTCCCTTCTTTGCCCATCACACTTACCGCCCAGACCACACTCTGCCTGGACTCTGTACAGCGGACGAAAGGCAAACTGGACACCGGTGATCCATCCCCCGCCCCTTCTTGCCTTCGGAGTCCTTTCTTTTGCAATTATACTCTCGCTGGATTCTCTCTTTTGTAGTGGAAAAATGCAACCATTTCTTTGACCCTCTTCCTACTTCCATGGTGGAATCTGCCAGTTGCCCACTAAGTCCTGAGTTTTCCCTTCCTAAACGGAACAGGCCCCAGTGTTAGTGAGCACACTGCAATCCAGGCTTCCTAGCCGCTAGGATAGCCATGTGACTGTATCTAAACTCTGGTCAATACCATAAGCAGAGGTGACTAGGATTCTAGGAAGTCTCTTTACCTGGGAAAGGGTCAGTCCTTCTCCCTCCTCTGTTCCATCTACACTCAGAACATATAGAGAGGACCATTCTTCTCAAAGTCACCAGTTTGCCTGACCAAATTCAGTGCTAAAATGTTTAGTCTTTCAGCAGCATCAGACACAGATGATGCCTCTCTCAATCCTGAAACACTTGTTTGGATTTCTGGAAATCCACCATATCCTGATTTTCTTTTTACCTCACTGGTCACTCTGATTCTTTATACTTTCTCCCTGCCTTCCAGGCTTCTACATTTTTTAATGCTCCAGCTCTCCTCTCTTACTCCTCTGTGATTATTTTAGACCTATGGTTTCAAATACTATATGTACTCCAATGTCACTCTGATCTTCAAATTCATATATCTATACTAGATGTCTGACATCTCCCCGTAGATGTTTAAAAGACATCTCAAACTTGACTTGGCCAAAACAAAATTCTCCCCACTTCCTTAGTGTAGTCCTTCTCACCTCAGTATATCCTCACCACTACCCTCTTGGTTGCTTAACACAAAAGCCACAGAGTCACCCTGGACTCCCCTCTTTTCATGCTAATCCACCCACACTCATCAGCAAGTCTTGCTGACTCTGCCTCCAAAGAATATCCATCAGTTCTCTCTGTCCCCGCTGCCACCACCCTGGTACAAGCCAACACCTCCCTACGCAGACGCAGTGATGGCCATCGTGTCCCCACCTCCAATCCCCAAAAGTCTATTTTCTAAGCAGCAGCAGCCAAAGCAATCTTCTCAAAGTGCAGATAGGACTGTGTGTCTTCCTTCTTAGAATGAAACCTAAACTCCCTGGATGGCCTCGAAAGCTCTGGGTGGCCTTCTCAGTCTCGTCTCTGATTTCCTCTCTAGCCACTCGTGCCTCAAGTGCTGCATTTCGGCCACACTGGACTTCTTCCTCTTTATTTTCTGAACACCATAAGCTCTGGAATGCTCCAGGATTTTAATACCAGCTCACTGGCTCCAACTAAATGCTCTCTTCCTGCATCTTCTCACTACCAGTCCCTTCTCATTCTCACTCACTCAGGGGACCGTCTCAGCCAAGGAAGCTTCCCCCCCGTCATGTGCTCTCACAGCATGCTCATTTTCATCACAGGAAACCACAATGTTCATTAATGTTTTCTTAACCATCTGCTTCTCCTTAAACCCGCATGAGAAAAAGGCCTTGTGGACCCTGCTTACTGCTGGATTCCCAAGGGCCTGGTACACGGACTAGCAAGCAGCAGATACTCAATAAATTATTTGCTGAATGAAGGCAGAATATCATACTTAAAAGTCACTCTGTCCAAACCATTACTCCAGTGTTTAAACCTCTCAATAACAGACCTGGTGGGAAATCGATGCTGGTCACTCCTCCTGAGGGTGCTCATTCCATCCCTGAGTAACTAGGATTATTCAAAAGCCCAATTCCTTCTGGAGCTGAAGTCGGGCTACTGTTGCTTCTGTTCCTTTGTGAAGGCCTTCACGAACATGCAGAACACATTTCTTGTATCTTACACAAGACAGTGCTTCAATAACTGAAGGTGATGACTGTGGCTTCTCACGGCCAAATGGTCCAAGGCTGCTTAGCCCTTCTCCACAAGGCAGGGCTGTGGGTCTTACCACTACCCTCCCCCACCCTCAAAGCTGCCCTGAATCGTAGTGCAGTCTCATACTTAGCCATCAATTATGCCAGGAGTACTTAACTCTGGCCCAATTTATCACTTCCCATCTAGCTGGATCAATTGATCTCTTTTTTCGGAATGTGACTTGATTTAAATGAACTCTTACCTCATTCCAGTTCAAGCTCACACATCATCTCCAATTCGTGTATCTTTCATAACACTAGGTGCTTACTGCCTCTATAATCTCAGAGCCTACAGTCATTCCTCTTAGAATTCCTAATGCATTTACCTTTCCCAGCACAGAAGACCTGCCCTGTCCTTTCGGGAAAGGTCTCCTGGCCTCCTTTCTTGCATAAAGGTCCTAACTTTTCCACACATGTAAATTAAAATGATAATCTCTCTTAATTTTCACACATTAGCCTGAGGCAAACTAGCACTATGTTTTTTTTAATGTCATTTATTTTTTTTTTGAGAGAGAGAGAGAAAGAGAGAGAGAGAGGAGAGAGAGAGGAGAGAGAGGAGAGAAGGAGAGAAAATCCCAAGGAGGCTCCATGCTTGGCTCAGAGCCTGACATGGGGCTTGATCTGGTAGCCATGAGATCATGACCTGAGCCAAAATAAAAAGTCAGATGTTTAACTGAATGAGCCACCCAGGTGCTCCAGACCAGCACTATTTCTAACAAAGAGAAAAATTCTTATTTTCTTTGGCTTTTATATTATACCACTATGCACACAAAAGCACTTTTTTAGAACCATCTGTAATCTACATTTATTCCTTTGGCTTCCAAACCATGCTGACATCTCACTGAAATTATTTGGGTAGAGTAGTAACTTCTGGGAAGTTAATGATAAGAAAACATGGCTTGGTCATCTGAAAACATTCTTTATTTCCACAGTGTGTTAACACATTCTGGTAAAGACAGCAGAAAACTTTAAGTAAGCTAAAGAATATCACCTTACTAACACACTCCAAAAGACAGTTCTGGTAATACCCAAAGGGCCAAAATACTGACCACCACAAGGTGACTAGAATAATCCTCAGATGTGATTAGCTACGATTCAGAAACAGAATGTAGAACAAAAAAACTATAGGCTCAAATCTGCTACAGTGATCTTTTAAAAAATGTATATATGAGCAATAATTTCCAGTAAGATGCCACATGGGATTATTCTACTAGGATTGTCTTTGATAGGTGGATCACAGCTGTTTGTGGGATTCCTGAGTTATCTTCTAGATCTGCCTCAATGGATTAAAACATCCCCTGTTCAGTTACTCCCTGCTCCATAAGAGCATGGTCCTTTAGACCATGTATTTCCCCTTTCCCTTATCCCTGCTTTACGTCAATGTAAACTCTTTGTGGTGCCCTGCAGTTCCAAACCTATGGGATTTAATCATAAAGACTCTTTAGGTTCGCCTGGGTGGCTTAGTCAGTTAAGCGTCTGACTTTCGCTTAGGTCACGATCTTGCGGTTCGTGGGTTCGGGCCCCGCGTCGGGCTCTGTTCTGACTGCCAGTTCGGAGCCTGGAGCCTGTTTCAGAGTCTGTGGCTCCCTCTCTCTCTGACCCTCCCCTGCTCACGCTGTCTCTCTCTCTCTCTCCTAGAAATAAATAAAACATTAAAAAAAAAAAAGTCTCTTTAGTCTTATCCAGAACCAGATAGTTTTAAAGAAAATATAAGTCTCTATCCTTTTTTGTTTTTAATTTACTTTTATTTATTTTGAGAGAGAAACAGAGAATCCCAAGCAGGCTCCGCACTGTCAGCGCAGAGCCCGACACAGGGCTTGATCCCAGGACCCATGAGATTCTGATCTAAGCTGAAATCAAGAGTAGGACGGGGGCACCTGGGTGGCTCAGTCAGTTGGGCAGCCAACTTGAGCTCAGGTCATGATCTCATGGCTTGTGAGTTCAAGCCCCACGTCTGTTGTCAGCACAGAGCCTGCTTCAGATTCTGTCTCTGTCTCTCTCTGCCCCTCCCCCACTCACACTCTGTCTCTCTCTCAAAAATAAACATTAAAAAAAAAAAAAAGTGGGGTGCCTGGGTGGCTCTGTCGGTTAAGCATCTGACTTCCACTCACGTCATGATATCACGATTCGCAGGTTCGAGCCCCACGTCGGGCTCTGTGCTGTCAGCTAGCTCAGAGGCTGGAGCCTGCTTTGGATTCTGTATCTCCCTCTCTCTCTGACCCTCCCCTGCTCACACTGTCTCTCTCTCTCAGAAATAAATAAAACATTAAAAATAAATAAATAAATAAAAAGTAGGATACTTAACCGACTGAGCTACCCAGGCTCCCCAAGTATCTATCCTTTTAAATCTTTATTTCATTAATGAAATAGTGTATTATGTGCCTGGCACTCTACAGAAAAATGCAATTAAGTGTTACCTCTTCTAATATAATTATCTTTTGTATTCACTCTAAAGAATTCTGGCCTTTGTCTTTCCTTTTTTTTTTTTTTTTTTTTTAATTTTAAGAGTTCTAACCTTCTAAAATCTGCTCCTCCTCTCAGTCACTGGAGTTGTCCAGTTATGAACCCAATTTTAAGAACTAAAAACAGTGACATCAACTTAAATTTCTACTTACAGCATTGTGTGATCTTCTGGATGTTGGAAGAGATACGCTGGGCCAGGAGGGCAGGGTCACCACCAACACCCGGAGTGTAAGACATAGCTGATTTGCTTATTCACTAATTTCATCAGATGTCACCTAAGCAGTCACCTAAAAAACAGAAGTCACATAATTGTATTTTTGAAGCTATTGGCCTACAGTTTCCAAATTATCCATCTGGGAGGTTGATATATAGCGAAGGGACACACCAAATAGTAAACTCTCACAGCTATCAAAAATACTGGCCTTTACATGCACACCGATGTTTACAGCAGCACTGTCAACAATAGGCAAAGTATGGAAGAAGCCCAAATGTCCATCAATGGATGAGTGGATAAAGATGTGGTATTTATATATACAAAGGAGTATTACTTGGCAATCAAAATAATGAAGTCTTGCCATTTGAAACTACATGAATGGATCTAGAGGGTATTATGCCAAGCGAAATTAGAGAAAGACAAATAGCATGACTTCACCCATACGAGGACTTTAAGATACAAAACAGATGAACATAAGGCAAGGCAAGGAAAAATAACTTAAAAACAGGGAGGGGGACAAAACATAAGAGACTTAAATATGGAGAACAAACAGAGGGTTGCTGGAGGGGTTGTAGGAGTGGGAATTGGCTGAATGGGTGAGAGGCATTAAGGAATCTATTCCTGAAATCACTGCTGCACTATATGCTAACTTGGATGTAAATTAAAAAAAATACATCAAAAAATACTCTTCTTTAAAGGACACAGTCATTTTAAACAATTAAAATAAGGTTCAAATTGTACATTCCCTTTGAAAATTTTTAAGTAAGGGTTACCAAGTCCTGTTTGCATGTATATTTTTAATTGTTTATATATTTTCTCCTTAACTGCAAACAACTGTAACACGACTGACACACTATTTATCTTTCTTTCCCCAACATTTAAGACAACTCCCAACACAGGACAGTTATTTACATGTCTATTAAATGGTACACAGATTTCAGGGGGTCCCCAGAAATGTCACCGTATCTAGTTTAACACACACAGGAACAGCTTAGGAACATACGACTAACGGGTCTCTAACTTTTATGGGAAAGGTCCACTTTGAGAGAGGCACAGCTGACCGGAGAGAAAAAAAGTAACTCCATGAAGCGCTCATCACACCTTCCAAGAAAGCAAAGAGAAGGGCTCTCCTCCTCCCCAGCTGGCATCAGGACAGGAAGCAAAGCTGGGGCACCACCCCAGGAAGGAGGCAAGAGGGGGTTCCTTTCTTCCCCAGTCCACCCACCACACCTCTTGGGGTTTGGAAAACAGGATGAAAAGTGTGTCCCTGCGTACAGCACTGTGTCCAGCACAGGCTCTAAACAACGCCACAGCCATCTTTCCAGAGTGCATCGCAGGCTACAAAGTTGCAGGCAGGCACTGTGTGCAGCTCTCCATGGAGTCAGCTACATGCCCAGCATCAGATGAGGCACTAGGGAGTCGCAAGGAACAGAACAACAAAGGTAAAGAATCTGCTCAATTTAAGTGTGTCATTTAGGAGAGAGGATAAAGTAAAACAACAAGAACAATGTAAGTCAGCAAAAGGTCATTTGTGAAGCAAAAGTGAGAGGCTGGGGAAAGGAAATTTCACTCCGGCTCTTCTCTAGAAAGAATGAATGAAACACAAACAGAAGATCTGAACACCTGGGCATGCCTGGTGTGGAACATGCCGAAGGCAGAGACATGACGCCGGGGATGGGGAGACCCAGGACATACGCAAAGGGCAAATGCAGTGTGTCATTTCTCAAAGGGAGGGGTGGGTGCCAGTCAACCCCGGATCAGATGATTCATGGCGAGGACAAGTGGGAGACAGCACAGAAACAGAGGAATGACCCAACACGTACCGCCTCTCTGTGAATTGAAAAGCATTTCACATAGACTGTCTAATTTTCAAAATCTCCTCTCTAAAGTAGATAGTAGCAAATAAACCTGTTTTAACAATGAGCAAAATGCAGATTAAAGCAAAATAAAGATTAAGTAACTATAAACGTAATCAAACCCACCTACCACTTGGAAGTGGGGCTCAACCCCAGGGCTTTGGTTCCAAAGCTACCCATGATTGCTACCACACAAAACGATGACCCAGAAGAGGGAGGGCCCTGGAAACTATGCTTAGTTTGAATATATTGCAATAAGAAAGCACTGGGGATTTCTGGCAGAGGAGAAGAGGGCACAGGGAAATGTGTGTCTTTGTTCTTAGGGGCCGGTGCTGGCAGGAAGCACAACGGAAGAACTGTTGAGATAGTTGAGATAAGTAGATCAGTCCTGGCTCCATGTCTGAAACCGGTGCATCACGGACAGTGCCAGGCCACCCCGGAATTCCTGGGAGCTTTTAGATGTTCTTCATTCTCTTTCATTCATCCACAGGTCCAATTTATTTATTCTGGGCCCTTTGGATCTCACCAAGTCATTGAGACCCAAGTCACAACTCAGATGGTACGTCTGCTTTGGCAGGGTGCCAGATACTCTGGACTTGGGCCTGCAGCCACCTAAACAGCTGGCGCCCAGAGAGGAAAAGACTAGATCTGAGGATTCAATGAAACCAACACTATCACAAGCATCCCACAAACCACCAATTAGATCTCTAAATTCTGCATCTTTTTTTTTTCCAGTAAGAGCGTGAGAGAGAATTCAAAACCACCTAATTCACCCATTTAAGCGTACAATCCCATCTACCTGAAACTAATGTGACACTGTATGTGAACAACATTGGAATTAAAATTTTTTAAAAAAGCAATCCTACTGATGTTTTATTTTTTTTTTAATTTTTTAATGTTTATTTATTTTTGAGAGAAAGACAGACGGAATGCAAGCAGGGGAGGGCAGAGAGAGAGGGAGACACAGAATCTGAAGTAGGATCCAGGCTCAGCTGTCAGCACAGAGCCCGGAGCCGGGCTCGAACTCACAAACTGTGAGATCTTGACTTGATCCAAAGTTGGACGCTCAACTGACTGAGCCACCCAGGCGCCCCCATCCTATTGTGGTGTTTTTAAAACATCCATAAACTTGTGTAGCCAACCTATCACTTTTAGAACTTTTCATTACCCCCAAATAAAGCCCACACCTACTAGCAGTCACTTTCCATTTCTCTGCAACCTCTCCAGCTGTAGGCAAGCACTAATCTACTCTATGTCTTCATAGGTTCTTCTATTTTGTACATATCCTATGAATAGAATCACATAATGAGTTCTCTCGACTGGCTTCTTTCTCTTGGCATGTTGCCAAGATCCATCCATATTTTGGCATGGATCAATACATCATTCCTTTTCACTGCCAAATAATATCCCACTGCACAGATAGGGGCAATTCTCTCCTGGCTCAATGACATCTTCCTTTTTCCTTTCCCTCTATCAACTAGATCTCTAGAAGAACCGTCTCACGGCCAACACAAACATAATGAATGAGGAAACGTTCCTCACTGACTCTCTTTGGGAGGCTCCTCCCTAAACATACATAGTTTTATAGCATTCCCCTTAACCCTCAAAACTCATGTAAGCCTAACCGAAGCCTTCTCCATGTTTTTTTCAAGCCTCCCTTTTTTCCTCTTCAGAGAATCAACCAATTATTTACAAACACTACCAATTTTTCTCATCCCTTTACTCAAGCAACTAAATTCGTGAAAGTTCCTACAGGTGAGATAACTGGGCTCCACTCATCCAAGGAGCTGCTGCTGCTGCTGGATTGGCTGGAATTTCTTCGGAGAAAGGGCACAGTGGTTGTTAACTCAGTTCTGTGTTGAATGAAGAATGAAAAGAAATTTGCAAATGATGGAAGAGAGAGATACATAAAAATTCAAAAGATTAACCACGGCTAACTGGTATTTCCAAAGCACTGTGCTTAGGACTTTCACATTCATTTTCTCAGTTGATTCTTCCAACAAACCTCTGAGGTAGGTACACTTGTATTCTGAGTTTGCACATGAAGAAACTGAGGCACGACAAGAGTAAGTAACTTGCTTAATCTAAGAGCTAAAATTTGAAACTACATCTTACAGCCCAGATTTCTAAAACACTAAACCATATTGCTTCAACGTGTAACAAAAATTCAGGGCAGGTGAGCCCACTCCATTAAAAAAAGCAAATTTACCACCTTTCTGCAGACTCTGCTCTTAGGATGAGGAAACCGACCTGCGATGACTATAGGAGTAGATCAAATTAACACATTGATAGCTCAGTCCTTTTCTCTCTTATTCTGCTAATAATGCTTTCTAAGAGACAACAATGGTTAGCCCTTCTGATGATGAAATATAAGAAATAAAGGAGCCAAATGACTTTACTGAAAAAGCATATATACAGACAGATGGATTATAATTATGGCTAACTATAAACTGACATCAAAAGCTTCTGATCATTGCACTTGGCCTAGAATCAACCAAGTTATTCTGATAGCTGCTGTCTACTTCAGTCTCTAACCTGGCTGCAGTTAGCAAGCACTAAAGCACTCCTACTGAGTATTTTTGCAAGCTCATTCAGAATTCCTATTTTATTGCTCAGAATAACAATAGCTCATGATCTATACCTGTTCTATCGAGTATTCAAGTATAACATGTGAGGCTAGTAGCCAGTATGGCCAAGCAGCATAAAGTTCTATTGAACAGTGATCATGGAGACATCTCAACAGTTAATTTTTCTATGAAAATATATAAACACTATAACGGGCAAGAAGGAAAGAGATGATCAAAGTGCAATACTCATGATGAGGATATTCTCAAGACTTTCTGGAGAGCACAAATAAAAGTACAAAGGGAACTGTGAAATTTTAATTGTCAAACACTCCCCCCAGATACCACTGGACATATTGCAGAATCCAAGATTCTCATTAAGCACAAATCTCATGGTCTACAAATCGAACACAGAGCAACAGAAATAGTTTCACTTTTTAAAGTGTGAGTACATGCATAAAACACTGGACTTCCCTCTACCCCAGGCTCCAAAATCTAAGCTCCCAGAGGGGCAAAGATGTATCTTCTTTGCGCGGTACTCGATGCTCACTACCTGGTTATGTAAGAGGTGCTTATAAATATTTGTAGACTGAGTAAATAAATGTACTTATTTCCTAAAAGAACACACCTAGTTTGAGGATAAATACTACCAATTCTAAGATATTAAATTCCAGTGTGATCCTAAATGTACCAGACTTATTACTGCCATAGGGCCTTTGCTGAGTGCCATTTTCTATCCCTAGAAGGTCTCCTTGCATGCCAGAGAAGTCTTTGGTGACTCCTCGGATCTGAAGTGAGAAGTCACCACTCCTGCCACTCTCTGTTGATCTAACTTCCTTTATTGTAGTGCCAATCCACGTTTAAAATGATCTAGTTAGTATGTTGTTTATTACCTAGCCTACTTTGGCGATAGACAACCTTGTCACCTTGTGGAATTCACAGTAACAGGTGCATAGATGTCCCACGAACATGAAGCCGATCACTCTATGGACGGGAGCATTCTCTATCTAAACCAAATTAACCCAATACTTTTAGCTCAGCATCTCCACCCGTTACACTGTTATACCATCTGGTTTTATTCGTAATACCAAGGACTACTTTTCACCCTACCCATACACTAAACTTCCAAATTAAATGGCATCATAGCAAACTTTACTGCATCTACATACTGCAGATGTTTTATATAATTGATTTTTCCAGCCTGCCCTCCCCCAGCACTGAGCTAAAGTTTGGTATCCTAACCAAAACGAGATAGAACTGTTTTATCAGGAGCAGAAACCAAAATTAGATATAACTGTGTGACTGGGAAAAGCACAAGTAAAAAGCTTAAGTAAAATGATGCAGGGGCGCCTGGGTGGCTCAGTCGGTTAAGCGTCCAACTTCTGCTCAGGTCATGATCTCACAGTTTGTGGGTTCGAGCCCCAAGTCGGGCTCTGTGCTGACAGCTAGCTCAGAGCCTGGAGCCTGTTTCAGATTCTGTGTCTCCCTGTCTCTCTGACCCTCCTCTGTTCGTGCTGTCCCTCTCTCTCTCTCTCTGTCTCTCTCTCAGAAATAAAAACAAAAACAAAAACAAAAAAAAATTAAAAAAAGAAAAATGATGCAAACATGAATGGGCTGCAATGGTATTATATTAACTTCTACAGGAAGTTTGAAACTAGAGCATAATTCGTAATTAGTCACAGTCTGAGACAAACTTCTCGAGGTGGCCTGCAAAGCAGAGGGCGTCCACATCACAAGACGCTGAACACCTGCTACATGTCTCCGCCCCGGTGAGGCTGAAGCCGCCCCCAGAAGAAACGTCCACCTGCACCATTACTCAACAGCACAGCATTCCGTAATCATTTTCTTCCCGAGTCTGTTCAAGTTTTAAATTACATATAGTTATAGTCAAAATACTCTGATCTGAATTAAACAAAATATGTACAGAAGAGCCAGGCAAATACAAGAAACTTGAGAGGAAAAAAAAAATACAGCATTTGACCAGAAAGGTAATGTTATTTTTCCTTTGTGTCTGAATTTTTAAAAAGCGAACCACCTAAAAAACAAAAAGGGGGTTCTGGGGAGGGCCTGGAAGTATTTTTACGTCTTTTTAAAGGTCTTCGTGTAAACCAATTAATGACGTGTACCAAGACGATCAAAGAAAAGTTCGCTTGTCTTCAAGCCAAACAAAACCAACTACAATGTGCCCCCGAATAAAGGTATACGGTTCCTTTCCCGCGGCCATGAATCTTCAGTTCCTCTGTATTGGGGAAGAGAACTCTCAGGCGTGTTTTCTGCCTCGGTAGTTGCAAAGAGGAAGAGGTCACTCGGAGTCCTGCTCCGGGCCGAAGCAGGATTCCCGAGCTCCGCCCCAGCGGGCCCGACGCCGGCCCCGCCCGGGGGCGCGCAGCCCGCCGGGGCGCGGGAGCCAGCGCGGCCGGGGAGGCGGCGGGGCTGCGGCGCTGCGGGCGCAGGGCTCGCGGAGCGGGCACGGCCGGCCGGGCCCGCCTGGCCGCGGGCGTGAGCGGCGGCGGCGGCGCTTGGGGGCTGGGGCAGCGCCCGCCCTCCGCCTCCCGACCGCAGCCGCAAAGCGCAGGGCGGCAGCCACCTGACCGCGCGCACAAACAAGGAGGCGCGGCAGCCGCCGGGAGTTCGCGCCTCCGGGGCTCCGGGCCAGGGACCACCCCTCTCCGCTCCCCCAGGTTCCTCTGACCCCTACCTCCTCGGCTTCCTCCTCCTCCGCCGGCCCCAGGCACCCACCGGCCCCAGGCACCCCAGCTAGACTCTCAGCTGATGGGCGGTGGCGCTGGGACGCCCAGTGCGCATGCCCGCAGCACAGCGCTGGGGAGGAGGCGGGCCTCGCTCCCCTCCCGTTGGGCAGCGGGATTGAGTGGCAGCCGCTCTGCCACGCCCCCTGGTTTCCAAGCTAAGGAATGGGGGATACTGAGAAAATTGCAAGGGGGGTGTTTTTTTGAGGCCTTGAATTATGGCTGGCGGACGCCTTAGCCTGCGTGCAATAAACAAGGTGAGGGAATGAAGCAGCTGCCTTTATGGGGTGATGGCGGCCTCCCTACGCTCGTGTCTTCAGCCCGCCCCATCAGGTCCTGCCCGTCTTGTCCTGAGTCTGCAGGAGAACGTTTTCACAGCTCTATTAAAAAATGCTAACGCAAATATGCAATCCTAGCAGGAACAATGACAGAATAAGTGAAGAGTCACCTCCGTGTGCCCACTTAGTAGACAAGTTTTCATAGCACATACAGGTCGTTCTAAGAATTTTTGAAGGGCAGAGAGTAGTTTTAACAGCGTTTGCAAAGAGCAGAGAATGTTCTGATGATAAATATTCAAATGTAATTGTTAGACAAAAGCATCGATTGCTTTTGGTGAAAGACATAGTCGGCAAATTAATTCGAAGACAGGATGACTTGGCCTTTGCCTGTATTGAGGCATCTCTATTTTCTGAAAAAGATCTTCAGGACATGAAAGGTCTAGATGCACTTAAGTGATAAAAACCACAACCAGAATATTTTGAATTGGTACCCCCTAAGAAAACTCTAGGTTATTTAGTTTTATGCATGCATATATACCTAAGTGAGTGAGATCAGACGGGAATAAGAAACACAACAGTCTCTCAGTTTATTTTTAATTGTTCTACTTTTAACACAAAAATGGGAACAAGAAATATTTCCTATTTCACATCTTTCCTGAAGAAAACTACAGTGCAAGTGTTTTAATAAACAACAACTTATATTCTGCCTCTGACAAGGAGGCAGTGGAGTGGGCATGCTGGCCAAACAGAAGGCACTCATCAAATCTAAAGGTAGCATGATTCAGCTAACACCAAGTGCGGACTTTTAAAAAAAATTCAGATTTTTATGTGAAATCCCCTTTTTCAATATTTTTAAAATTTTATAAAACATTCTGAGATCAGATAAAGTGGGTATTTCAACTTCTATAATAGGCAATAGTTTCAACCATAGAGTATTAAAACAAACAAACAAACAAAAAGCTGGAGGGGACCTTCCAGAAAATCTAGCTCTACTTCCTCATTTAGGAAGTAGATTACAGAAACTGAAAGCCAAAGAAACTTCATCAAAACACACAAATAATTATGAGAAGCACAGGTCCAGATGACTTCATTCAGAATCTTTAATTCTTTCTAGTATTATCTTCTACTCAGCAAATATTCATTGAGAACCTGCCATGTGCCAGGGACTGTTCAAGAGTAACAGATATGAAGATGAGTAAGGCGTATAGTATTTTCCCTCAAGGAACTTAAGGAGTGAGATTCTTCCCAGGATAGTGTAAGAGGGGCTGTGATAAAGATTTATACCCAGCATGGGGGATGAAGATGACATCGTGTGTGGTCAAGGACCATTCCAAAGGGGAAGTATTAACAAAATCTTGAAAGATGTGTAAGAGTTCACAGGAAAGACAAGGTGGGAAAGCACATCCCAGGCAAAAAGGATGTGCACATAAAAATTCATAGGCAAGTGCAAACTCTTAGGGATCGCCATATAACTTTATTTAGATGAAGCACAGTGGATGGGTTGGAGGGGCATAAAATTGGAAAGGCAAGTGGAGTTTCTGTCATGAAACGCCTCTACATCATGTTAAATGAGTATCTATGAGGAGTTAAACTATTAGAGGATTTTAAGTAAAAGTGTGATGTGCTCATAATTCTATTTTATGAAGAAAACTGGAGAAAGGGGGGAAATTTAAGAGAAATAACACTGAGACTGGAAAGGGAGAAAGAGAGAGAGAGACTACAGCCTTTTAGAAGGCTATTAGAATAGTAGTTCATCCCCAATTTAGAATGTCCCCAATATCAGAGATGTTGAAGGACTTCCTAAGGCTGATGCACTGGGAAAGAAACAGTAAGGCCTGCTTTGAGCAATATTTAGGAAGACTTTGAAATTAATTAGATATGAAAGATGGAAGAGATGACTACTATTTTCAGGACTTATAAAACTGAGCTGAACGTGATGTAGTTACCTGAGATTTAAGATTGCTAATATAGTTATTGCAGTTTGGTGGGTGGAATGGCGGAGCAAAGCTACCTAAGTTTAGCTTTGGACAGGTTGTAGTTAAGATCTCGGGGAAGTGATATCCAGTTTGAGATGTCTCTCCCTTCAAGTGTGAGCTGAAGTTCAAAGTAGAGTTCTGACTGAGCTATGGGAAGGGATGAGGTCACGAACTTTAAGAATGGAATGTTATGGACTCCTGTGTTTAAGGGAGAGCCAAGAAAGAAAAACCCTGAAAAGGAGTAATCAGAGAGCTAGGAAGTAAACCAGGAGAAGGTGTAGTAGAGAATGAAGGAAAATATTTCAAAAAGAGGAAATCCTCTATGATATCACATGTCATAGAAAGTTCAAGTAAATTAAGAACCGAAAGCTGTGCATTGGACTAGAGAATTAGGAAGTAGCTGGTGAACAGGAAAAGGAATTTCAATCATTCAAGGGACTATCCTGTAAAGAACTCACATCTGCATAAGGCCTATTGCATATTCCGAACATCCTTTCCTGTTTCCTTTGAGGGAACCCAGGGTTTTGGGGAAGGAAGTAATACAACAGCGAACCTGAGGCTAGGTGGCGTCTTCCGGTTACACTGCTGCTACAGACTGAACCGGACAGAGGGTCAGCTGTCTGAATCCTCCTTCATTGGCTCTTTCCAATGCCTCATGTTTTATTTTTTTTTTAAATGTTTTTATTTATTTCTAGGAGAGAGAGAGAGAGACAGCATGAGCAGGGGAGGGTCAGAGAGAGAGGGAGTCACAGACTGAAACAGGCTCCAGGCTCTGAACTGGCAGTCAGCACAGAGCCCGACGCGGGGCTCGAACCCACGAACCGCGAGATCATGACCCAAGCGAAAGTCGGACGCTTAACCGACTAAGCCACCCAGGCGCCCCAATGCCTCATGTTTTAAAATACATTATGAATGGACTGCTTTTAGGTCTTTTGCAAACTGATAAGATGTTACCCCTTTGTATTCAAATGGAAAAAACATACGTAGGGTGTGGGTAATCCTGCAAAATTTAGAGGCACAGAGGGAAAATGAACTCCCAGAGCATTCCTGATATTTGGAGTATCCCATCTAAACATCTGCCTGCTACTGGGAGAAGCATCCTTGAACCCACTAGGGCTCAAAAATTCTGCCCATTTAATCAGCAATCATTTCACTTCTCAAACAAATCTTCTATGCTTGCAGGAATTACTTGCAGGAGTAAACTGGTAGTTTGGTAATTTGGATTTTTGAGAGCTAGTACTTTGGGGGATGTGGGTCTTATTTGAATGATTTTAAAGGGTAATTAGAAGTCTTTGAGTGGGGGGCGCCTGGGTGGCTTGGTCGGTTGGGCGTCTGACTTTCGCTTGGGTCGTGATCTCGCGGTTCGTGGGTTCAAGCCCCGCGTTGGGCTCTGTGCTGACTGCCAGCTCAGAGCCTGGAGCCTGTTTCAGTCTGTGACTCTCTCTCTCTGGCCCTCCCCTACTCACACTGTCTCTCTCTCTCTCTCTCTCTCCTAGAAATAAATAAAACATTAAAAAAAAAAAAAGTCTTTGAGTGGGAATTGTATCAGTGTATTTGTTGTATCTTTACTAATATAAATACTACCTCTGCAGTATAAGACAGGAAACTCTCTCCTGTTCTAACTCCAGTGTTTGGAAGAGCAATTCTATTGAATGGAAGGAGATAATTATCTGTTAATTCAATAGTCCATGAACTAAAAATAATTTTTAGAAGACCACCATGTGATCTTGGGGGAGAGCCAGAGAAGTAAGAGATAACAAAAAGAAAAATATAGCAAGACAAGGAATTTATTGACAAATGAGAGGTACAAGTTGACTTGTAAAAGTGTGTTTTCAATTGATAATAAAATAGAAAAACTACAGCTGTTCTAAGAAATCTGCACTAGATTAAAAGACAGCTTAGGGTGCCTGGGTGGCTTAGTTGGTTAGTCTGACTCTTGACTTCAGCTCATGAACTCTCACAGTTCATGACATGGAACCCCACGTTGGGCTCTGTGCTGACAGTGAGGAGTCATTTTGGGATTCTCTGTCTCCCTCTTTCTCTCTCCCCTGCCCCAAAACAAATAAGTAAACTTTAAAAAAGGCAGCTTCAATAAATATCTAATAAATAAGCATTTGTTTCATTGTTCCTTATTTTTAAGTGCCTCCATCTTCCTCTGCTGTTTTTGCTTGTTTTCTAAAACCACACAAGTGCCTAGTGATACGCCAAGTACAGAACAGATTTTGCTGACTTTTAAACACAGATGTAATAAATAGGCATCCCATAGAAATCTTACATGGACAATTATAATACGACGATCTGTTTGTTCAATGCTAATTTTGCCTCCAAATTTTGTTATACATCCCTCTGTCTGTGTCTCAGTCCACTGCAGTGGCCTCCTCATTGGGGTCTCTATATCCAGTTTTACTCAAACTTTACTATCCTCAAGGCCACCACTGACTATTGGAAGGAGCAATCTGAAAACATCACTCAGGCTTCATGCCATCCCCATGCCCCGGAATGTACCCTGAAAAATGAAAGTGGTTGGGCTGGAAAGAGGTGGGATGTTGTCTAGGTTGGAGGAAGGAATCAGGGGCATCTATGGAGAACCATCTGGGAAACCATATTGTGATACAGTCTTTTCTTTTTTTCTTTTTTCTTTTTAATGATTATTTAAAAAATTTTTTTAAACGTTTATTTATTAGTGAGAAACAAAAAGAGACAGAGCATGAACAGGGGAGGGGCAGAGAGAAAGGGAGATACAGAATCCGAAGCAGGCTCCAGGCTCTGAGCTGTCAGCACAG